CAGTGTTACCTAAATAATCCATTACTGTAGGGAATAACTACAGTATTACAAATACCAAGTTAAAGTTATTTTGTTAACTAAAGCCATTGGCAAATATTTAAGAATAGCCAAAGCATATGAATTGACAATAAAGAACAGATACAAGATAGCAAAATTCTTACTTGTAGCATCTAGTGGAATAAAGTAAACACTTTACCATTTTTTTCTTTTTCTTTTTTTAATTTTGGGTTAATTTTACTTAGTTAGAAGCAAGCCTTCATGGTACACCCAGCAAATGCTTAGGCTAAAATATGCTAATACAGCCAATTCTTTGTCAAAATATGATAGGAACATTTTTATGGAAAGCTTGGTTCTAGGAATAACATAATTTGGGAAAACTACAAACAGTACTTGCAATAGTTTGCTGTATTGCTGTCCTCTAATTAGTGGAAAAAAACTGAGAGCCTGTGAATCTGTGTTTTGCAAGTAGCACAGATACATTGTGGAACCCTGAAGATGTGCAATTAATGTTAACATGTAGCAAGTAATATTCAGTATTAAAGCATAAAGTCTACAGTAGTCTCTTCTGTGAACTCATGTGCACTGTATCTCTGTGTAAGAAGAAAAGTTAAGTTGCAATCTTCCAGTCTCTAATCAATTAGAGATAGCAGAGACCCCAGTCCCAGGTCCATCAGGTACCCAGGGAATCCAGGTGGATTTCTTAGCTACAAGCTAGCTCCTTAGCTGTGGGTCTGTGTCACAGCATGTGCCACAGCTGAGACAGCTGCCATGCACCATACAATTTCAGAAGGCTTTAAGCACTCGCCCACACAGAGCAACACCATACCACATCAGAAGCCTTCAAGTGTCTGCCCTTCTTGTTCTTTAGCCCTACCTTTTATACCCCTCATGCTGATGCCTGAGGCACACCTGTGTGCCTCTGTTCCCTTTGGTGGTTGGTCAGTGCCCCTGGGCACTCCATGGCTCACTGCTGCCAATGCTGCTCACCTGCTGCTCACAGCTGTGCCCACTGGGGATGAGGCTGAGCCACAGCCCCACTCCCAATTACCACAGGTCTGTGCTCCAGCTGAAGGGAGTAGCACTATAACTGCAGACACTTCAAAAAGACTTCCTTCTACTCATCAGTCCCATGCATGTTTTGCTCTGTTTCAACCAAGCACTGTTAATCCAGAAACTATTTTTGTGGAGGTCCTAGACCATTTGATGGCATGGTGAATGTGAGGAATGATAGGTGGTGCTGAATGTCATGCACCTATCACTCACATGAGGCTGTGCTATCTCAGCAATTTGCCCAGGGGCTGCATAAAGTGAACAGAAGACATTTGATTACAGTTCAACTCCCTAAATGTAGAGTTTGTAATGGAGGCATTACAAACATAATTTCCAATTATGTCTTGTTTGAGAGCATGTCTTGGTAGTCCTTCAGCTTCAAGAAAGGCTCAGATTATTAACTCCATGTCCTACTCCCCCTCCCAGGCTAATCAGAGGGAAATGTTGTGGGTACTTCTGTGGTCCTGGACAGTAAAAATGAAGCTGAAAGGAATATGTTTTCTGGTTGGCATCACCAGAAGACCATCTGGATTTAGTTTTGTCCTAAATTCTTATTGTGCTGCATCTAACTTAGCTCTCTCAGCAGTGATGAGTCTCTTGACCTTAGTGAAGCTCAGAGCACTTTGCAAAGGTAGAATTGTGATCGCTCTTATTTAAATATAAGAAGACTCAGGCTCAAGGAGGAGAAATGTGTTTGCTAGTGGCCTTAAATTGATATTTGTTGAAACATAGAAATTCTAAGATGGATAGTAGTCAATTCAAGCTTTCACTGTAGCTAATGAACCTATGTTTGAATCATCTAGTGTCCACGCTCTTAGGACCCTGGTAGAGGATGCACATTTCTGTAGATCATTTCAGGACCTAAGGCTGAATCTCAAGGTGCCGCTCACTGTTGTTCCATACTCAGATGTAATTGAGTCTGGGCATGCATGATCAGAACCAATCTGTAAGCATAGTGTCCTGTGAAATGCTGAAGTTGTATGCCCAACCACCACAGAGAAGAAAATAGATGATGGCCTCTGTTCAACAAGTGGTTGAGGTTGCCTGAGCTCTAGACTATGAATGCATGGGTACATCACAACAAGAGAGTGACACTCTGTGATGGACTGTGACAGTGCAAAGAGCATACTCTGCATTATGTGCAACGAGCATTCCCACTGTAACATGGTCCATGGCCTGCGTGCCAGAGTCTGCCTTTGGCTGCTGCCTTCAGATAAATTAGTGAGAGATGGTTTGTTGTACTGGGAAGGAAACACAGTCCTCTTACCTTGTGTAAATGCAGGCAGAGGAAGACTAGTAAAATATTTGTCTATGGTAGGGCAATGTCATCTAGTTACCAGCCTACCAGCTGTCAGGCTCCTGACTCACGTGTAGTGCAAACTTGACTATTTAATATCCTCCACTTCACAGCAAAATTTCAAAGTCCTTTTAGGGCTTATGGGCCTTTTTTGACACCATCTTATTGCAGTATTTCCTAAGAGCACCTTTGAGGTAGTATTTTCAAGGTATTGATGCTGCCCGGCCCTTGAATGCACTCAGTGGCATGAGGGGACGCTCCTCAAAGCCATCCTGAGTGCAGGCTGAGGCCTGAGAGGTCTCCGGGACCTGTGAGAAACATTTGTGGTGAAAACCAAGGTCAGAGCTACATGCCTTTGGGAACATTGGATATGTTTATCACTGGGGTGGAGGCAGTGGGAGGGAACGGGTAGGGAATGTTTGGTTTTTTGCTGGATTTTTTTTTTGTTCCTTTAGGTGGAAGGTTTTGCTATGTTGTTCAGTTACTGCTTCAGGTGAAAAATCATTTCCCACCTAGCAGCAAAAATATGCCTGGCAAGGTGAGAAGTGTTTTAGGAGCAGCACTTCATAGAGTTGATTTTCAGCCAAAGTCAAGTCCTTCTGGGAGCTATTACAACTGGGGATATTTCTTTGCAGGGTTGAAGCTACTCTGACTTTGGTGACTGAGGAAACCTCTTGCTCTCTACTGAGCTGGACAAGTGATATCAATTCATGTCACTTTTTCTTCTGCCTAGACACAGTTGAGGCAGGTCCCTGAAGCTCTCAGACCCAAGATGGAGCAGGAAAGAGGCCATGTTGCCATAGTAAAGCAAAAGGCTTACTAACAAGAATATGTGAATTACTGAAATTCAGGAAGTATTTAAATACTTCTGTGACCCATTCTTCAGGCCTAGAACTCCCATTTATTTTTTTATTATAGCACGGAGAAATAATCTTCAAGTGAATGAAGGAATTTTAATTTAGTAAATTTCAGGAGGGATGAAATAAAAGTATTTTACCAAAACACATATTGATGGAAGCCTGGAAATTACATGCTTTTGGAAAAAAAAATTGTTAAAAGATCTATCAATCACAGTGCCTTTATCTGGAGGAATCACACTGGTTACAAAGTGTATACATCAGAATCTATTGGTCACTCAGATGCAATCATTATGAGTTAAGAAATGTAGTATTATATAGCAATTGTAGTAGTATAAATGTGTTTTTCATGGCCAGTCTTTGAAAATGGGCCTGGTTGTAGCCACAGAGAGCCAGTATTTTAGGATCTAAATAAATTATTTTATATTTCATATATTCTGGGAAAAAACTCTGAGCTGGTGTGAACAAGGTAGAATATTTAATCTATCCTCCAGTTTTTTGACCATATATTTCAGACCCATATATTCACTGAACAGTTTAGCTTCTCATATGTCTTTTTTTTTCTTTTAATCTTGTGCCAGGTGTTTAAGAAGTGGGCAGCAGTGGTATTTCAGTAACCTGCTTTCAACATTATTTGTATACCTTTGTGTTTTTCCATGGTGATCAATGCTCAACTGTAGTGGAACTTCAGTCAGTAAATTTTATGTGCAACTGCTAGAGTAATTTTTTTTTAATTAGTCCATTCTAGGAATTTTTATGTCCCTTTATGAATAATTATATTTTCAGTATGTCTTCATTTAATTGAGAAGATTTTTCACATTGTTTTCAGATAATTACAGGTAGTATGCACAATGATATGTCAACACTCTTACCTTTTAGCTTCTCTATTTCTCTTAGTTCATCCACATTTTGTTTGTTCGTGTATATTACATTTTAGTTTATTTATGGTTTTCCTTCATGTGCTGTTGGAACTGTCAGTGTTTTCCATGCAAATACCTTAATAAACTGCAGAGAAAGAAAATATGCTATTGCATACTAGCAGGTGTCATGTAGACTGTCTTGAACACCTTAATCAGTGTGTATGGCTACTAGAAATCCACACTGAAATAATGTTTGGTTTGTCCAGAACTTTCTGACACACAAATACAAAGCATTTAGTGCTATATTCTGGTTTGTGCACTGAAAGAGTGTTGGGTCTGTGCTCTTTGATTTGGAATCTCTATGAACTTACCTCAAAATCCTGGATAAAACTGAATGGAGGCATTTAGAATTGATTAGCATGTGCAAATCATATTACTAAGTAATCCTGTTGATTTACTGATTTCAACTTTTGAATTGTAGTGGTTTTATTCCTTTCATTTCATTGAAAAGTCTTCTTTTGCAAATAAATCCCTTGTAGCTGGTGGTTCTGCTTGCTAAAAGAGAGTCCTGTGTACCACAAGTTATTAACACATCAATAACTTATACTGATTAATTCAACTTTATATAAATCACAATAAAAACTTTTTGCTGCAGCTCGGAGGTGATCAACAAGATGCTACAGCTGGAAAATACTTCCTCTTGAGTTTTTGCTGAATTTTTTTTTACTTTTTCAAATTTTTATGGTTGTTACATACTTCTAGAAGAGCATTGCAGAAAAGGTTTATTCTTTTTGTTCTCTGTCACTTCTGAAGTATAATTTGTTTTGTTACTAGTGCATGTGAGTCCAAATATATGACATATTGAATGTATTAATTCATTCTTGCAGCTCAACCTTAGACTGAAATTTAGTAACATGTATAATTTGTTTTTCCCAGGTTATACAAGTCTTTGTCTGAAGGATTGAGTCTGAAGAACCAGCCTAGCTGTGCTTTCAGTATTTCTGAAGGTGGACTGCAGGGAAGGGAGGATGTTGTGACCCTAACCTATGGCCAGATTGAAGAGCTGGCAGCTCAGCTGCAGCAGACTCGATCCGAGCAAAAGGACACTGAGCTGAAGCTCCAGAAAGCCCTGGAAGCTTTGCAGGAGGCCAATGAAAAAGTTCAAAAGTGAGTCACTTGCCTTCCAACAAAAATTGCAGTTGTAATCCACAGGAAGCATTTTTTTCTGGTATTTTGTCTATAACTGAAAGTGTGGCAGTACTCAGAAAAGGTCCTTTAAAATGATTCTTCCTTTGTCAGCTCATTTCCTACTCAGTGTGAAGCTGATCATTTTAACAGGTTTGTCCTATTAGGCAAGTCAGGGTACCTCTCATTACTGTTAAGGAAATTGCTTCCTACATGTGCAAGGCACAGAGAAAGTCTTTCCATCTCCTATGAATGGTTTTCACTGTTCTCTTACCCTGTGGCAATCCTATGGCTACAGAGTATTTCCCTTTATAATTACATGGTAGAATAGTACGGTTCTCATTTTTGGTCTGTTACACATCTGGCAGGTTTCATGCCACGGTAAATGCTTATGGGGTTGTTTAGGGATGGCTTCAAAATCTCACTGAGAGCCTCAGGAAGTCTCTGAGTTGGTGAACAGAGATTGTGTTCTCTTTGCCATCATGAGTTTCCCTGTTAAAAGGTTACTGAACTCCAAAACCTGAAGTTCATCTCTAGTGAAGTACGTATTGTCATGTTTGTTATTAGTTGTGCCTCTTGACAGTCTGGTGCTTCTCATCTCTGCATTACATTCATCAAGTGCAAAATTCTCCTCTCTCATCCTTCCAAGGTGGTCGATGATGAGCTGATGCAAATTTTCCTGTCTGTCCATATATGTCTTCAACTTAAATGTCTACAGCATGTTTACAGAGTAGCCAGAAACTGGCTTATAATATATTGCAAGCACCTAACAAAAGCTTTTCTTTAAAAAAAAAATATGCTGAGTTCTATTTTAAAATAGTTATATTCCTATCTCTTTTATTTATTCATAGCTACATAAAATATAATTAAGGTATTTATCTATGAAAATGCATCTTTTTAGTCATCTCTTTAAATCCTCCAGTGATTGTTTGATAATCATTCAAGTCTTTATTCTGAGCACTTAGACATATTTGAAACTTTGAGAGGTGTGTGGTTGATAAAAATAAACCTATTAAAAAAATTAAGTAATGGTAAAGGGAATATTGGTAGAACCTTTTTAACTTTTTTAGTTTTTACATCTAGTTTTATTTATAAATGTTTAATAATATAGCTATTTAAGCAGAGGTTGAGTTTTTACTGGTTTGGGTTTTTTTTTTCCCTAAAGTGAAACAATCTTGTTTAATCCCATGTACGCAGGGTGGCTAAAGTAGAACTGCAGCCACAAACTGAATTAAAGTAGTAGTGATGCACCGCTATAGTGAAAAGAATTTACGTAATTTAACATGCTCAACTACTTGGGAAAATTTTGGTCAGGTTAGTTTTCATTATTGTTAAGATCAGACGACTGAGCCTATAGCAAAATCAAACAATTGGTTGGAGTCTTTTGATGACAATAGCATGCCCTTTTTACCACGAAACTGTGGAAATGCTCTGCGCGTCTTCCCAGCACCCGGAGTCATCCACCCCCATCTTATAATTCAACCTGCAAACAGATTAAGCAGCTGAGTTTGTGGAAAGTGTGTTTACTTTGAGCTAAGAACCCTTGTGTGACACTATAGAGATTCCTCTGACACCTCTGGGAGAGCTACACAGACAGTTCGTACTCATCAGCAGGGAAACCGGGCTGAGAATTCCCAATTTCTTTGTAACCTCAACTGCTTCATACAAATCAGTGTTTGGCAATTAGGTAGGAACTCATTTGTTAGCTTAGCATTTTATTTAGAAGATGTAGGATGTTCTACATTTCAAAAAAAGACTGACAATTTATAAACCTGTCAACAGAAAGGCTTTTTGGTATTAATTACAGTAGTATTAATTATTAGCACTGCCTTAAGAGGATGCTTAATGTCGTTTAAAATGTGTCACTAAAATTCATAGACTAAAGACCGTTATAAAATAATCTGGTTTCTTGACTATTTTAAATGCTCAGCTAAAATTTAATTCTGACATATGAAGGAAGTAGTTTTGTCAGCTGCATAGTTTCTCAATATTATTCAGTAAAATAACGACAGTTGAAAATCAGAATAGTGAAATAATTATGACCTTCATTAAGAAAGAACATTACTGTAATTAAGAATGTTAAGAAAATATGTACTTCGTTTTTCATACAATGTAGTTTACAGTGGTTTTACACTGCCTTTGCTAATCTGTTCTCTGGCAACATGAAAGAATTTTTTAATATTCTTAAAAACTTCAGTGTTTGCATTCAGCATGATATACAGAGCTTAAAAGAGAGTTGTAATTCTCCACAGCATTTGCATCATGTCAGCCATTTGTGTACCCACCAGTAGTTGCTGCTTTCTAGAGGTGAGACCTGAGTCAGAATAATGGTCCTGTGCTTTCCATCAGGACAAAAAGCATCTAAAAAATTTCTTGATCCTATCCCACACAAAACAGCAGGGGGATGTGAACCAGAAGTGAAATGTTTTAGTATCTACTTATAGTCAACTTGGGTGTAGTAAACATCTGTTTATACTGAAGTAGGGTGAGCATCTCACGTTGGCTAGCTGCAGTGTGAGATATAAATTGAGACTGTCTGCTCTTGCTTCTGAAGATGATTCACCATCCTGACAGGGGTGCTGGTGTAAAACAAGAAACATTTATGCTCAGAGGGTGGTCACATAGATTTAGCTGCATTTGCGTGAATGTCTTTTGATTTTGAGACACTGTCAAGATACGCTTAAACTTTTAAGGGAGCACTATACTTTATAAAGCAAGTACATATTCTAACTGGGGTCTATGTAAATAAATACATGTATGTACACACAAAACAATACATATTTATTCAATATACTATTATGTTCTGCACAGTAATATTTTTAATCAATACTCTGGAATGGCTCTGACTATAATTTTCTATATTTAATTAATGTTTCTATTTTGTGGTTACACAGAATTAGGACAGGAGCACAGAATTCACCAGGAATGTTGGTGTAGTACCACAGGCCCCTGCAAGTTTGTCCTGCTTGAGAAGCCAGGAGCCAGCTGGTGCACTCCCAGCAGGGAAATGGGGCTGACCTGGTGAAGGTGGCTGGGGGAGCCTGTGAATTAATTAATACTCTGCCAACAGAGGAAGCAAGGCATTTTAAAAATGTCCTTCCGGCTGGAACCTCTGGGATTGTGGAGTGGTCGCTGATGTCAGTGAGATCAGAGCAGGTTATAATGTAATACCGAATCAATATTAGCCAATTATCAGTAAAGGTTGAGGCCACTTTTGATGTTTTTCCAGGAAATGTTCTATTTTTCTGCAACAGCTTTGCAGCTGGAGTGAATTTTAATGCAATTTGTCTTTTGGGAACTTCTATTTTTTTCTCATAATTTAATGATTCTAGCTCAGTAAAGCACAGCTCTGCATGTGAGCACAGCTACACTTGCATAGTCGTGTAGCTGTGTGAAGTGGCAGAGGAGGGTGAGTGGGTAGAATTTCTATATAATCCTCTAAAAATAAACACAAATAATCCACAAAGTAGCAGTGCAGTACTAAAATATACAGGTATGAAAATAAGCATAAATGGTGAGAAGGATCCTGCTTGTGTACTTTGTCAAGGTAGTTCTGACTATGAACAAAGTTAATATAAAAGTGATCTAAACCAGAAGTCGTTGCTTCATTTGTCCTAAACTGTTTATTAGAGACCTTTTCAATTTTCTTTTTCTTTCTTTTAAAGAGGAATTCGGGAGAATTACAGCTTTGGATAAAAATTTTTAGTTGATTTAATACATAAGAAAATTAAGTGGTCTTCTGAATTAAATTCTATCCTTAATAACATTGCTTTACCCCTAGGGTCTGGGGTTTTTTTGACCACCTAAATTTCATTGTGACTGGAATACGTCCTTTATTTGTTTAGTCCTGAATTTCCCTCTAGCCTTTTTGAAAATGCTTTCTCTGCTTTTGTACTTGTTCACTTGTTTTCTTAGCTGATGCTGATATATAAGTTGATCTATGAAACAACAATAACAAACAGTTGACACGGATGAAAACAATACAAAAAATGCAAAGAAATAAGAAACAAGCATTTATTAAGTAGTTAGTGTCCCCCTCTTCTGCAAGTAAAACTAATCTGCCTTCTGAGTGCGGGAGCTGTGTGTATTTCACATCAATGTCCAACACGTTCTTCAGTGCGGGCTGGAGGGTCTAATCTTTCCCAGAATGATCAGAGCAGTGCAGTTGAAGAACAAGGATGAATATTTGAATAATCACACCACAATGTGAGGTGACCCTCCGACAGGGGACTGACCACATACACATATGGATTTTGGGAAGAAGCTCTGATGCTCTTTTTTAACACAGCTGTGAGAAGAATGTGGCTAAGACCCAGTAGTCTTTCTTGAGTATAGCTGGCAAAGGAAACCATGAGGAGAAGAGAATTTAACACATGGGTGTAAGGGAGTTCACTTCATTGATGCGATCTGAGGGGAATGTCTAATGACTGGAAGAATCAAACTTGGCAATGAAAACACAAAGCTCTTTTCATCAATTCAAACGCTGACTCTAAAGCTGCAGATGGTTACCTCCAGCCTCGCCTATTCAGTGTGGGGTTGTATAAAATGGCACTTTGGTGAATACTAATAGATCAAAACAAAGATTTAATAACATAAAGATGTGGTGTTCATTTTTAAATGAGGATACAGGTCAGTGTCTCAGAAAAGAGTGAAATAAGTATCTTTATGTATGGGTCTAAAGTCTCTGGAGATTTTTAACTGCAAACATATCTTTAGTGTGCAGATTGTATTCAGTATGGGGCAGCTATGCAGGGAACAGGCTAAAAGCAAGATTTCAGAATTATTATACTAATTGAGCCTCTTTGCAACATGCAAATGTCGTTAACTAGTTATCTGCTTTTAAAATCATACCTACATTTATTTAGCTGAAGTATACATTGTAGCTTGTATGCGTTGAGCTACTTGTTGTAGGAAAGAATGGAGCTAGTTAATTAGAAATTGCAGGCAGAAGCACTTCACAAAAGAAACAAGTTGTACATTCA